TGTGCTGCATATTCCCTAATGGCATTAGCCGGTGCCTTTCCTCTGTAAGCCAATAGATAACCATCTATCGCCAAGTCAATCCGTAACTGCAGCTCCACAGAACCGTCGACTATTTGTTGAAAATGGCGACATATCTAGGAGAAGCAACGATGTTGAAGGATTAGAACCTCTCTTATAGGTATCACCAGAGTATCGCCAAGACTCGGTGCTAACCTGACGACAGCACACGACTTCTAAAGGGTATAAATCGAGGAGGATTTGCTCTATGATCTCGTTTGGTAACTTCAAGATATTGAGTTCCGGCTCATCTGTAGACATAGATTGCGGTAGTGGTGGTGGAGATGATAAGCTTCGATCACAAAGGAGCAGGCCCGTTTAGTGCATAAGGAACAACTCGTGTCACGACCAAAATAATGTCATAGCATCTTTGCTTCATTCAATGAGGAACTGAGACATCCGTAGCATAAATTTATCGTATGAATTCAATAACATAAATCATCGTTCAAAGTGGACAGAGATTTCATGCTTTTCCGGTTGATATTTCTTCAGATTCCTCTTCTTGGTCTTCCATCAGTGGAAGAAACGAGTAAGAGGTCTCCATTCCAAGCTATAACACCTGATTAGTCAAATTTTTACGAGCGGAGCTTCCAAACCCCAATTTAATGCGTACCGTTCGACCCACTACAATGCTCCCATCGAAACGATAGTACGAATCTCGTCGAAAACCTTTGCCAACAAATGCTCGAAATGGTAGACTCGAGTTAACCACGACTCCTTGATGCGGAACTTGCCAGCAGGCCTCATCGACACATACCAAGATTTGATGAGTATCTTCAGTCTTGCTGGTAGCACCTCTCCGGATTGGCCTCGGGTTGAAGTCCAGGATCATAAGACTGGGCTGAGTAAGGTATCCAAATCCAAGAGCACTCGCCCTGCCCCAGACAAGCATTCGAGACCCACATGTGACGCGAACCCCAGCAGGGCTTATTCCACCCCAGGGAAACCATCTTGTTGTAGAGATCCCCCATGTTTCCCATTCGAATACAGCCGGGTTTCGATCAGGATGGGTGTCTAACAGGGAGATATATGCCTCTCTAAATGCAGCTACG